TTAAGAATAAACTTCGAATACGAAATAATTTAAATTATATTTAACAGTATATAATTATTTCGTATTCGAAGTTTATTCTTGAAATAAAAACTTTAAAAATGAAAAGGATTATAAAAAAATCAATGTTTATAAGGACTATTATATTTTAGCATCAGATTATACAAATTAACTGTAGACACTTTTATTATTGAATAGAAGCTAAAATTAATAATTAAATTACGAATATAAGTTATTTAGTGATAAATTTTCTTTCGTCAATAAGAAGAAAATTTAAATTTGTTTGCAAATTGGAAAATAGAATCGAAATAAAAATTTATTTTGTATACTGGTTAGTTTTTCCTCTATGTTTTATCAAATTAAAGCACGCTCCATTTTCATCTTTTCGTTGAAATGAGAACGTGCAATTTATTGGCCCTTAGAACGCTAATTTGACGTTGTGAGCTGTCGAGCACGTTTTTCTTTTTTTTTTATCGGAAGACGTGGTCATTCGCATCAATGAAATTTTCTATTACATGCTCCATCAATATTCTATTTTTACAAAAAGTTAGCGATTAACTCAAAAAATTTTATTATAATATATTACAAATATGTCAATTAACCAAAATTGATCAATTAAAATTTTATGCAGGGTAAAAAAAATTATTTTCATCACAAAATAAGGATATCTGTATTTAATATTAGGAAACGAATTTGGTAACTCTAGTTTTTACTTAAAATGTAAACTTTCCTCTTGTATATGGCTCAAAAAAGTCCTCTTATTTTAAGAGGATTATTCTACACTTGAGAGTAATTCCTCTTAAAAGTATAGGAATGGTCTTGTATGAAGAGTAATATTCTTAATTCAAGAATAAAATGTAAGAGGTTAGAAGGTTTTAGAAGAGGAATTTTCCTCTAAAAACAAGAATATTTTTTTTCGGTGTAGCTCATTTTCAAGGTTTTTTTTGTAAACAAAAAATAATTCTTAAAATCTTCTTAAGGTCATTCAGAGAAAAAAGTATTTTTGCAGATCTAAGAGTAAAACGTCACCTACGAAAACACTTTTTTGATATATTTCTTCCGGATGGCTTAGACTTCATTTTTTCTTTTTTATCTTACGTCGCTTATTGTCTGTCAACTTTTAAAATAAATTTTTAAAAATTTCTTGCTTTGAAAATAAGTGAAAATGTTTTAGCTTTTATTTTTGTATTAGAGAAGGAATTTTTTCTGAGATGTCTATAATAAAAGATCAATTCTATTACTTTATAGATATTGTGTACTTATGTTAAGAGAAAAATTAGTGGAGACATAGGAGAGTCTTAATTTTAATCCCACGTACATTGATATGTTTTTACTTCATCAAATTGTTTTGATGGTTCAAGTTAGTTTCACACTTCCATTTTTTGAGATAAAAAAATTTCACGTTCGCTAAAAGAAAATGGTTAACAAATTTCACAAAACGTCTCAAAATGAGACACTTGTTTTTGTAGTGCGGTTCTGCAATATTTTATGTTTTTTCTCATATCCTTAATATTTGGACAAATTCAAGAATAATTCTTAAAAAAAATTTTCATTGTCGGATTCTTTGTTTACACGTACTGTCCCTAAATTGAAAAGCAATTTTATAAAATTTCATAATTGTTTTCTTTTAGTAAATATAAAGAAATAAAAAACTTTGAAATAAATAGAAACAGATAGAAAATAAACAAGAAAATATTGAAGAAATAAATTTAACAAAAGAAAGAAAAGAAAATTTTGCAATATACGAAAGTAAACAATAGGAAATTTAATTTTAGAAAAAAAACGAAAGTTGAAATATTATGAAACATAGGTATATAAGAAAAAAAGAAATTATATTATATTAAAGAAAATTCTATTAGGGGAATGGAAATCAGTGGAAAATGATTGAAAACAATTTATGTTAAAAGCTCTGTGTATATGGGAAATCGAGTGTCAGTAAAATTGAATCGCGCCTGCTTGCCTTGAAGAAAACTCAGGTTTCAGCCATTTTTTCTGTTATTGAATTTTGATCGTATCGCGGTTTGAAAGTGCTCAAATCATGTCAAGGTTTAGAGGGCAACGAGACCCTTTTCGTGCTTCGATCAATGCAGATAGGGACAGGAGACAGGGGTGAACTTTATTAGACTTTCCTATCATGTCGATAATTACATTTGACTTCGAGGTCTTCCACGTCTTTGCTTTATATATTAAAAATATGTGATAAAAAAATTTTGCTACGTGCTGCTGTTGCTGCAAAAAATACTTATTACTAAATATAATTTTCTTCATTATGCACTCTCAGGACATGGCTGAATACATTCGAAAATTTATATGCTTCGAGCGATGCGTTTTGTTTGCGATATTTATAAATTATAATTAACACTATTAAGTAGAATTATTTTTTAATTTTTAATGTCAATAATTTAGTTTCGTGTGAGGACTGTTGAAATAAATATAATCTTTTTCTTATAAACGTAATATTTAATTAAAATTTGTCTGTGAAACCAAAAATAAAACGGGTTATGAATCTAGCTTGGAGAGAAATTTGTTATTCAAATTGAAGATTGATGATATTTGAGAATGATTGTTTGGTTTGTTGGAAACAGTGAATTTATTAAATTTGTGCGGTTTCTGCATGGCAGAGGCAGAGTTTTCCATCACGGGATGGAAATTTGTGGATTGGAGATTTCCATTGACAGCCTAAAATTCGATTTCACATGTTACACATTATGGTATCGAAGTGTTTTTTATTGTTTTGGATTTTTAGTGTACCTTTTTTCTATTTTTCGTATTTTACTTTAGATCTGGAAAATAGAAATTATTAAAATACAGATTTTATATTTTAATTTCTTTTTATGGAAAGCAATAAAAAAAATTATTTTCAATGGTCTCAGGGGAAAAAGGATTGAAGCTGTCAAGTAGAATTGTGCGATTTTAGCCAAACAAAATAGAGATATACTAAATATAGTTTTACTTATATATTGTTAGACGGATCATTGGCTCAAACGATTTCCTTATTTGTGTTCATTTTATCTCGTGTCTTATATAAGCGACGACGGCAAATAATTTTAAATAAACGGAAAATCTTTTCTGATGGTTAATACTTTTCCAGTTATTCTAAAAAAATGTACATTAGACTTTTCTTTATTTTATCACTGTTAGAAATATTTGGACATTTTTTGAAAATTATCGAAATACTTTTTCTTTTTTTCTATAAAACACTTCAAAATTATGTAACATGTTTTTTATTAGTTTTAAGAAATTCCATTTTAATTTGTTAGTAAATTTTGAAAATGTATCACAGAAATTTCCAGCAGTGATGATGTATATTTATATTTTATTTATTTTAATTACATTAAATTTCGATTTGCTTCCATTAAATGGATTTCCATTGGAAAAAATTGTCTTTCGCATTTTTCAGTTATTATTAATTTAGAAATTAATGTCATTTGAACCATTATGGCATCATATTTTTACAACACAAATCTTTCTCGTATCTGGTTAATGGAGTTTTGAATAATTTTTAATGAATGATGCTGAAAAATGTGTATATAATAAGATTGATTGAAATTTTACGTAAAAACTGTTTCTTTAAACAGTTTAAACAGATGTTTAGCTTTGTATAAACACTCAAAAACTAGTCACTGAGAGGTTAAAATTCGTTCAAAACTCCTTTTAAGTCTAAAATTTCAAACATCCTGCACATAACAGACGAAATTTATATTATTATAAAAATTTTCCAATAAATTTAATTAAAAATTGTTGAACACTTCATTAAGGTTAATAACACTTTAGAATTTAAAAAATTTTACTTTTTTTTATTGTATTTCTAAACTCCTTATGACTTCAGAAACACTTCCTAAAGTATTTATAACCAATTGTAAAAAATAAAAGTAAATTTTTCAAAAAATATTCAATTAATGTAAAAAGTCATTGACAAATTAAGTTAGTCTTTAAGGGGATGGTGGGGTCCAGCTTTTTGTTACGACCAGTAGAAACATTGGTGCTAATGTTTGTAACAGTGTCTGAAATAAAAAAAATGGTGGGGTTTCAATTTGCAAAAGAATTTTAGGTAATTTATGGATGGCCTCTAACGATACATATAAGTTTAAACGCGTTTTTCTCAAAATAAAGTTTTCTCAAATTGCGTACAGTTTATCTCTGAATCTACTGAACCGATTTTAATAAATGATAACTCCTTTTGTTTGTAAGCATGTCCTGTGTGAGAATTTACCAGAAAATGGTCAAAAAATTAAAAAAAAACATTTTTGCAGACTAGAAAAATACTGAAAAACATACTGTATTTTTAAACAAATTATTGAAACATCTGCTATTTTTTTATTTTAGTCGATTTTTCATTATTGGTGGTAGATTTCTATGCAAGACACCTTCCTTTTTAAAAAGCAATTTGGATTTTTTGTTTCCGATTTGTCAATCTTGAGATAAACTGTCCGCAATTGGACAACTAACTTTTTGGAGTTTCGATCTGAATGCTGTCTGCAGATTATATTAAATAAAAATTAAAAACAAACCATTATTTTTATTCTCCAAATATGTACTAATTATAGCCAAAAAAGTTTTTTAAATATTTATAATAAAAGACCTAAGAAAAAAATTTTTTAAATTTGGTCTTTTAAGAGCCTTCTATAAAGTGTAGTAGTACCTTAACCAGATACAGAAAAGATTTGTGTTGTAAAACTGACACCCAGTAAAGAAAAGTATTCAGAAGAGAAAAAAGTATTGGTTGTAACTTAAGGGCATTTGAACCATTATGACGTCACAATTTTACAACACAAATTTTTCCAGTATCTGGTTATTAGAGTTTTGAATAATTTTTAATGAAAGTTGTTGAAAAATGTTTATAATAATATAGACTACGTCTGTTATCTAAAAATTAATTCGAATTTTAGGTTTAAAAGGATATTTGAACAAATTTTAACCTGATATGGAAAAGATTTATGTTGTAAAACTTAAAAAAGTGGGAGGTTAAAATTCGTTCAAAACTCCTTTTAAGTCTAAAATTTCAAACAACCTGCACATAACAGACGTAATCTATATTATAATAAACATTTTCCAATAACTTTTATTAAAAATTATTCAAAACTCTATTAACCAGATACCTAGAACATTTGTGTTGTAAAACTGTTGTCATATCAAATGCCTTACGCTTTCCCGAGAAAACCTATTGGGAGGTTATGGTGAATACATTTTGCTTACCATGAATAGCTTTTTTTAAACTTTCATATTAAAGATTTCTAAGTAAAGTTAAGAATATTTGAGGAGTTGTATCGAAGAACTCGCGCGACGCGTAAGAAAAATTGATAATACGGAAATAAAGTGATAATAAAATGTCATACGGAATTATCGTTCGGATAAATCCAGTAGGTTTAACTAAGTTAATTTGCAGAGTACAAATCAGTCCAGTTTATGGTCAGGTCTCAAATTTGAAATTCTTTTTTAAGACTTCTTAACATACACAATGACATGTAAAAACTTTTGATCAGAAAATTGTTTTTAAAAAACTTTCGAGTTTAAGGCCTAAGAAAGTTACAAGCCCCTTAATCATTGATTAACTTTTAATAAGAGTTAGGGCTAATTCCACCAACCTCAATTAAAAGTTAATCAATGATTAAAAACAGTTTAATGACTCATGATTGGTTGATTAAGGATTTAATCATTGATTAACTTTTAATCGGTTTTAGTGAAACTGGCTCTTAGTGAAACAAGTCCTAAATCTAATATTATTATCTTACAATTAGTCAATTTGACTATTTTTCCTTGTTACATTGACTAATTTTCCTGGTCATTTTAACTAAGCTTGAATTTTATTGCATTGACTAGTATTCTATAGTGGGTTCCTCTCGTAATTATGAAATCGAGTCAATTCCTGGTATACTGGTCCTAGGTATTTTTTTCGGTGTAAGTTTACAGTGATTCTACAATGAAAGCTTACTATGATGCGGACATATTACAATTGCTTTAAGTTTACCTTGACTTTACTGACAAACTTTACGAATATTTCTAGTAAGCTCATAGGAAGCTTACAGAAAGGTAATGTGCTATGTGGGAACTTTGCTTAAAAGTCTTTCATTCTAAAGTTTAAAAAAATGAATTCACCGTAACCCCCGAATAAGGTTTTCATACGAAAACGCATTCAGATTAAGATATCACCAATACTTTTTTATCTTCTGAATACTTTTTTTTTACTTGGCGTCATAATTGCTCAAATGCCCTTAAGGAAAATAATGAAATTTTTAAAATATATTTGAAAATGAAAATAAAGTTATAATAAAAGTTTGTTGATATATAAAAAAGTGTAAAGTATTGAATAAAGTATAAATAAGAAATAAATCTATTTTTCATTTTTATTCTTAATATTATCTCTCTTAGTTAGGCCTCTAAATACAGGCTTCGAGATGAACATTTGTTAATTCGCTTGCTCTCAATTGATTGTTGACGTGTAATTCAGATGATGCGTTACTGTGCACTAAGTCTTGTTTTCTGTGCACTTGTCGCATGTCTCTAACTGGCCCCAATACTGAGCAACAGCTTTCCAGGGTTTTTCTGAAAGCAGCTCTGAATTCTCGATTGAAGTAGGCGTATATCAATGGATTTAGGGCACTATTGAAATAACCCACCCAGAAAACCACCGCTACGACGATGTTGCCACTTTTGCAGGTGTCGCATATTGCTGTTATCACATACCTGTTGCAAACATAAAGGGAAAATTGTTATTTTAGCAAAATATCAATAATTAAAGGATGTAAAAAGAACGCTTTTCATTTTGACAGTACAGAGAGTATTTTAAAATCTCTTTTGAGTTTAAGAAGTTTAAATTTCTTTTTTAAATTCTCTTGCAAGTTGCTCGTGGGCTACGCTACATTTGACAGTGTGATTTTTTTACAATTGACTCTCCGAAACTGTCTATATCCTACAATTTTAATCAGATTTAAGTGTTAAAACGAAAAATTGTAGAATATAGACAGAATCGAACAGTCAATTGTAAAAAAAACCACACTGTCAAATGTAGCGTAGCAGACGAGCAAAACTTGTAAGCGAATTTTGAAAGTGAGTTAAGTTAAGTTCTATGTGGTGCCAAATTATAAATTTATAAAATAAATTATACTTATAAAATGTACTCAAATTACATTAGGTATATACGGAATTCTTTTATAAGTTAGTATCTATGATAGATAATCATTTATAGTAGAGTGTGGTAGGGTAGATGCACCGGTTTTGGCCAACCACACACTTTTATTAATTTTACTAGTCTTTTGTTACCTTCTGTTTATTTTTTGATAAAACGTCATTTCACAAATAGTGTTGTTGACAAATTCATTGAATGTTTATAATAATTACATTTATTATTAATGAAAATAAGGTGTCCAAAACTAGCAAAATTGACATTTTTATATATTTATTAATTTATTATATTATTAATATTTTTTAACCGTTAAAGACAAGAAATTCAGAAACTAAGAATGGTAATTAATCTATTAACAAGTGTCAGTCACTCATTTTGTATAATTAACATAAGAAAAAATGTCCTGAAAATCAGGAATTCCTTAAAGTGGCCAAAACTGGTCCATCTACCCTATATTTGAACGTGACAGCTCACACAATTTCGATTGGACTTCACATATATAAATTCGTTCTATTGTTAAATTGTACTTCGCAGTCTCGCCCTCTATATCATAATTATTATGTAGTTGTTTAAAATTGGTTGCGATTTTTTTAAGAAAAAATGTTTGATTATGACAGTAATATTATTGTTTATTGGTTTTTGAGATCGCTCATTACGAATCTAATGTAGTTTGATAAAAATTCAAAATGGTGTGCAAAATATGACTGACTTTCTTTTAATTTGGTTTTTTAGGAAATTATTTGGAAAAATTTTTTTTTAAAGTATTACAAATAATACGTTAATATAATTAATTATATATTTAAATTATTTCATCATCTTCGTCCATTTATTTCTTCTTCATCTTGAATTTCATGTTCTAAAAGCGATAATACTGACTGTGGACAATTCTTCCCAGCAATCACGTTCTATATGTATTCCATAACAGTGAGGTCACAGTGTTATAGAACAACTGTTCCTAACTAGTTACAGATCTGCTATATAAGCTGATTGTAACAGAGTTCTAGAACATAGTTACAAGTTAGTTACAGGATAGTACTGTATTATGCTTATGTCACAGTTCTATCACAATGTAATGTAAGAGTTATATAACTAATATCACAAAGTTTTTGTAACTGTTGTTCCAATCTTGTTCTATAACTGTGTGGGAACATTGTTATGTAACTGTTCTAAACTTTTCTTGCAGTTCAGTTCTGTAATATAATTGTAATTACAATTAAGAACATTTCTGTAACAATGTTAGAGGAAAGGTGTACGAGATGATCCCCTGGGGCAAGATGATCCTTCTGAATTTTGGAGAATCTACCCTCACAGCATAAGATATTGCTGGATATTCAGATTATATCCAGTGAATATCCTATGGATGTCCAACAGATATCAGAGGGATCATTTCAAGATATCCGAAAAACCGGAAGTTTGGATGTCATATGGATATCAAAGGATGTCCATAGGATATCATTGGATATCCAAAAAGATTTCTTTGGGACATCCTGTAGATATTTTTGATACACTCTCCAGATATCTTTGAGATATCCTGTGGACAAATTATGAATGTTAGTTAAGTAAAGGTAAAGAATTGCGGGGATTAAATTTATATTGAATAAATATTCAATTGAAAATATAATGTTAGGAAAATTAAAATAAATTTGTAGTATTTGTAGAACATAAATAATAGGGTAATGTCACCTTGAGTGGACCGCCTGAACTTTGAAGTTATCTGACAGCAAAAAACGTGAAATAAATAGTGCGAATAGCAGCGCGGCATTTAGAATACGTAAGAAATTAAGTTCCGCGATAAACATATACGTTACCGTTTGACGTAACGCGTTTTTAAGATCACAAACCAAAAAAGGCATTCTTAGAATAAGTAAAGGGATTCAGAAGTATAAAATTTAAGTTTTAAAAGGTTACTTACTTTTTCCTACTACTTTGAACATTGAAATTGATTGTCTTAGTTTAATAAAGTGATCATTTTGACTCAAAAAAAATTGTGGTGGCTGCCATGAAAAGTTGCATGTCACCATGAGTAGACCGTGCTTGTAACCATGAGTGGACTGCCTGTTTTTTCCATTCTTAATGTCAGTTTACCATTTTTTGGATATAAATTGCCGAAAAATTGGTTTGAAACTATGATTTATGTTCTTTATTAATTTTTTTGTGATATTGATGTGATATGTGCCAAAATTATTAAAAATGGTTTCACTTGCAAACATTGCGACACAGACATTGCCTGAAGCTGCATAAGCATAAATTTTGTATTAATATATCAGAAATTTTAAATACATTAAAGAATTTAGAATAACTTTTGCAATTATTTAGGAGTGGTCCACTCAAGGTTACACTTTTTTCATTCCTTAAAAATTAGCTTTTTTTAAAATCAATTTTTTCTTCCAAATAAAAAATAATCAAAGCTATTATGGTATAAACACTTATCTAGAGATCTAAATTAAAGCTTGGAACAGAATCCTCCGATTAATTTGCTTTTATATAGAATTTTTTCGAAAAAAAGCTTAGGCGGCCCACTCAAGGTGACATTACCCTAACATATTAAATTTTATTTATTTTATTATTAATAGTAGGTATTTATTAAAATAATAATTATTATTACTTAGGGGAGAGTAGGCTACATTGAACCAGCGTCAACAGTGAACCACTTCAATTTTCTGAGAAATGACTGAGTGAAATTTTTTCTTATTTAATATATGTATAAGTTAGTTTTACCGAAACAGACTATGTCCAAAAATTTACGGCACGTAGGTTTATTATTTACAAAGAAAAACTAAAAAAACGGGTTTTCACGTACAAAACAAAAAATGTTGTGGGAATATAATGACATTTTTTTATTGAAATAGGAAGTTTTTAAAATTAATAATCTTGTGATTTATTTCGCTAAGAGTGTCAACTTCAATATTCCGATGTTATAAAGAATTTTAAATCTTACATAAATTTATAATAAACAATTTTTGTTGTGATTGTTATGTGTATACAGTGAGTGCAACATCATTGAACCACCCGAAAAAGCAAAGAATTTTCAATTTTAATAGTTGTAAAGTTGTCTGCTCTACTAACTAATAAGAAAAATACTAAAAGACATGCTTTCATCACAATTATCAACGAGATAAACTTAAACTGTCACTTCTGCTACGAAATCTGACATCGAAATATATTAATATCCTATATTAATAAATAATAACTATTTAACAACAATTTTCTATTTTTTTTGAGTGGAAAATAAGATTTTTTACAATGTGTAAGTGGAAATATTATTTTAAAAGTAAATTGTAGTGTTTTATTAAAGGTGGTTCAATGTAGACACACATTTTTCAAAATAAGAAAAGTGTAACTGGCTAGAAAAAAATTAAATTTCATTATTTAATCATAATAATTTGTGTTTGTAACGTGTGTATTAACTAAAGGAGTACTTCAGTTTTATTTTCATTCAAAAACCTGATCAAAATTAGTAAAATTTAATTAGTTCTTGGACTTTATAAAAAACCCGGTTCAATGTGGCCTACCCTCCCCTATAATAATCTCTCATTTTTTCGTCTGGATCTCTATTGACATCTGAAGTTAGTCGTACATGTATGATTGAACATGCGTTATTGAAAAAAATTTTATTGGAAAAAATAAAAATTTCATAGTTTTAAACTAAGAGAAACTTAACTTTGTGCTAAGGTAAATTTTGTTGTAGAAGCTGAAATTCAACATTTTTTGTACTGATAGCTGCAGTATATGTTTAATTATTAAGTGATCTGATAGTTACTTTGGACTAACAAAGCTTGAAGGTTAAGTTACGAACAAATTAAAAAATGGCGACATTTGGGGCAAGATGATCCTCTTATTTTAAACATATTATTTAATATTATTAAAACAAAAAGTTGACATATACCTACCTCGAGGGGGAATAATATTGTACACATGACTCCCTGTTCCACTTATTATCATTATTACCAAGTATTACCGAGTATGTCTAATATGTCCACCAGACAAATAATAATGCATAAAGTTATTTATTTAAATTGTTGCAAACAATGTTAATTAACAAATAGATAACTTTGGTCATTGTTCATAAAAAAATTGTTTTTTTGCAAACAAATTTATGTTTGTTTAACCCTTTCAGTCCCATAATTAGGGCAATTAAAAAATATCTACAATAGGTATAGTACCTATGGTTTTCGGGGTCGCTGATTACGAATCTGGAATCAGATTTTCAAAATTTTTTAAATTCAAAATGGCGGAGTCAATATGGCGGACGATTAAGTAAAAAATTAATCAAATTTACTTGAAAGTTGTCACTCGGGGGTTTTTGGGATCGCTGATTACGAATCTGGAGTCAGTTTTTCAAATTTCAAAATAGCGGATCCAATATGGCGGACAAAAATTAAAAATTAAACAAATTTACTTAAAAGTTGTCACTCGGGGGTTATTGGAGTCGCTGATTACGAATCTGGAGTCAGTTTTTCAAAATTCAAAATGGCGGATCCAATATGGCAAACAAAATTTAAAAATTCAACAAATTTGCTTGAAAATTGTCTCTTGGGGGTTTTTGGGGTCGCTGATTACG